TGCAGCTTTAAAATATGCAAGACACGCCGGGCAGAAAATTTATGAATTTAACAGCGAAGCTCTGATTCGGGGATTAGAACTCTTGATATCTGGCAACCGCACTCATGAGAGCTCGCGCAGTAGAGGCGTGTAGAGCAGTCTGCAGTAACATTTAGTCTCTTTTTTTGACGAAAATAAAAATAGGTTTTTGGTAAAGTTTTTATCTTTTTGAATACATTTTAGTCTCGTCATATTTCATCAACGAAATTGCATGTTGATATAGTTATCGTTTATTGACCTTACTGTCATCTCGTCTTCATCTCGTCTTAGTCATGGGGAAAAAAGCTCGTCAACGAACATTTTTCGTCATAGTCTTCGTTAACGAAATTAACACTACTGCTGATCTTCAAGCCTGACTGTACAGTATGTGGGATTCAAAGCTCTTAATTGAAACTGTCAAGACTTTAAACAGCTGACATCAGTATCTGACACGACTCAAACGCATCAGGAGCCGCTCTGAAAGCAAACTCAGCTGCGAAGCGTGTCTAGAACGAGTGGGATGCGCTCCAGACGGCATTCATGATGCATAAAGAACCGCCGATAAAGTTTTTATCTTTTTGAATACATTTTAGTCTCGTCATATTTCATCAACGAAATTGCATGTTGATATAGTTATCGTTTATTGACCTTACTGTCATCTCGTCTTCATCTCGTCTTAGTCATGGGGAAAAAAGCTCGTCAACGAACATTTTTCGTCATAGTCTTCGTTAACGAAATTAACACTACTGCTGATCTTCAAGCCTGACTGTACAGTATGTGGGATTCAAAGCTCTTAATTGAAACTGTCAAGACTTTAAACAGCTGACATCAGTATCTGACACGACTCAAACGCATCAGGAGCCGCTCTGAAAGCAAACTCAGCTGCGAAGCGTGTCTAGAACGAGTGGGATGCGCTCCAGACGGCATTCATGATGCATAAAGAACCGCCGACACGAGGAGACAAACACGTCTGAGGATCTCAGTCACGTGCGGCACAGAATAAAAGCCTCTGAATACTGTACAGAAAGATACACAAACAGTTCACAAACAGAAAATAAAGATAAAATAAATATGGATAAATAAATAGATAGATAAAGATCAATTTAAATAAAATAAAAAGGGTAAATAAGAATAAACAAAAAGAAAGTGATTTTGAATATATAATAATAAATAATAAAAAAATAAAGAAATAAAAAATATTTAAATAAATTACAAAATAATAAACAAATATATATTTATATAAAATAATGATGTTATATAAATTATATGTATGTGTATATATATATATATACACACACACACACAAATACATAATGAATAAATAATAAAAATTAGAAAAATAATAAATAAATACAAAAATTTTAAATACATAAGAATGAACAAAATAAGAATCAATAAATATGTAAGTGCATAAACATAGGAAAGAATAAGAATAGTATTATAAATAAAAAATAGAAATACAAAAACATTAAATAAAACAATGATAAATTATAAAATTATAAAAATTAAAATAATAGGAAAAATAAAAAATAAAAATGAGAAAAACACAAATAAAAATGAATAAATAAATATCAATAAATAAAATAAAAATTAGAAAAATAAATAACTCAAACATGGAAAAACAAACAACAAATAAAATAGAATTAGAAAAATAAATAACTAAAAAGTGGAAAAACAAACAAACAAACAAGTAACTTGATTATTTGGGGCCACTGCAGATCATTTGCGCACCACATGCTTCATATTTAGAAATATATATATATATATACATAACCCTGCTCCAATAAGTAAATGTTTTTACAGTCCTGAAACAAACGGAGTTGTGTGATTTAAATGAACACAGAGTTGTACTGTAATGCAGCGGCGAGCGTGTGCTGAGTTTGCAGACGACGTCAGGAGCGTTACTGCAAAATAAAAGACTAAAACATCTACAGCTGAGAAACAATCCTTCGTATTTAAGAATCCACTGGGAAAAAACTCCCTGATTACAGAAAACCCAGTAAAGAGGAAATCCAAGCCAAACAAGCCATGTAGATAGGAAGCCTGATAATGATAATGCTGGAGTTTAGGGCTGGGTGACATCGCTAAAGCATTGCATCTCTGTGTTTCTGATCCTATAATGCGCAGCGAGAGAGAAAAATCTGAAGGGCTTCCAGCTCTGATCTCTTCAAAATGAATGAATCTCTCAACAACATCAGAGAATTACAGACGACTGAGCCATTTCTAGGAAAACCAAGATTTCTGAGATGATCACTTAACATGCAATAAAGTTATGTGACAAAAACACACTAGTTTTTCACAGGTTGAAGGATTATTTCACAAAAAAAGAACAGTAGGTAATATGTAAACGTGGTGTGCATGTAATTTATTGTTTGCAATACACTACTGTTCAAACATTTGGGGCCCATAAATAAATTAATACTTTTATTCATCAAGGATGCATTAAATTGATAAAAAGTGACAGTAGCCTAAAGACATTTATTATGTTCCAAAATATTTCTATTTCAAATAAATGCTGTTCTTTTGAACTTTCTATTCATCTGTGAATCCTCAAAAAAATTAAATGTATGATGGTTTCCACAAAAATATTGGGCAGCACAACTGTTTTCAACATTGATAATAATCAGAAATGTTTCAGCAAATCAGCATATTAGAATGATTTCTGAAGATCATGTGACACTGAAGACTGGAGTAATGATGCTGAAAATACAGCTGCGCATCACAGAAATAAATTACAGTTTAACAGATATT